TCTAATATGTCTCTGACTAGACCTTCATGCCTGAGAAGGTGTCCTACCAACCTATCTCGCCTATTTCTTATTGACTTCCATAGAGTCCTCTGTTCTCCTATTCTTTCTAATACCTCTTCATTTCTAACCTTCTCTATCCATCATCATCCGCCTATAACACCACATTTCGAACGCTTCTGACTTATTCTTTTCCGCCGCGCCTACTGTTTATGTTTCGCACCCGTAATTTTAACTAAAAAAAAAATATTACTGAAATACTGAATCCCTTGTTAGCGAGTATTCCGAAGTCAAAAGAAACATACAGGAAACTCCAACAACGAGTAGGTACAAGTACCTGATCTTCTTTTTTTTTTGTTTGATTCGTGGCAATTCTTTTACAATTTATGTAGGTATCAATTTTATTATTTCGGTTGAAACGCTCAAAACAGAAACAAACTCATTCAGTGGTCACTCGTCAGGATAATTGAATTAATATAGGTAAACCCATAAGCATTCTAATGATTTCTTCGCCTCAGAAGTAACGAGATGAGATCTCTGAATTATGAAACAATTCTTACGTAAATTAAAAGCGATTTAGAATGATAGATACCTAATGTACTTGCGCAAATTTATATAATAATGTGGAACATACAATCACCATGCTGTAAATTTATCGTTATTATCTGTCTGGAATTTTTATAATGACACTGTAGAATGATGCATCAATAAGCCACAGCAAATAATATAATTGCAGTGATGTGCAAGAAAAATTATCATATGTAGTAAAAACTGCTTAAAAAATACAGTAATTTGGTTTATAATGACTTCAAAAAGAAATTATGAAATTATTCCCGAAAATAAGGATTTAACTCCAATGAAGCATCTTGGTTGTTAGTCAGTTAATTAAGGCAAACCTAACACAGATTAAGCAAACTACGTTATAAGGGGTTTATCGTAATAAGGCATTTTGTTAGAAAGATTTGACATTGTATGTAGTTCCCCAAACCCTATCAATCAGATGAATAATTCGGTAAACATGTTCTTTCAACCATCACGTCTATCTGAAAATATCATCCGTTTCTCTAAAAACTGTCGGAACTCTCAAAATCTTTTGAACAAAGTAGAACACTCCTCAAAAACCTTAAATTGCAATTATTGGACTTATCTGATCATTTATTTGAAACGATGGTTGAAGATCTTCTTCAAAAGATCTTCACTGTTGGACATAGACCTCCACTGTTTTTCTCCATTTCTTCAGATCCTTTCCCTTCTGAAGCCAGTTGCGAGTGATATTTTAAATGTCATCTCTCCAACGCATTAGTAGTCGGCCTCGATAGCGTTTGTCTGCTCTTGGTCTCCATTCCATCAGCTTGCATGTCCATCGTCCATCCACGTGACCTGCCAAGTTTCTATTTAATTTTTCCATCCTCTCTTCCAGCTCTTAGGTCTTCGCTTGTAACTCGCTCGTTTAGAGTGATTCCTATCATTAATGTTTCCATGCATCTCTGGGCTTCTCCCAATTTGAGAACACGAGAACACCTTTTTTGTTAGGGTGGTCGTTTCTCCTTCGTACGTTAATACTGGAGGTACACATTGGTCAAAGACCTTTCCCTTTAAATTGACGTTTGAAGTAGGGCTCTTGATTCATCTCTCAAAGCGCCTTGTAGTGCACAAGCGGTGGTTTATCCTTCTTTTAATTTCGCACTTTCAATTGTCATTGCGGATGGTAATTTCGTGTCCATAAGTTTGTAATGAACTCAATTTTCTTGAAGTTCATATTTGATTCTATTTTTGAACACGCAGTTTCCAGTTCTGCTGCCATTTCTTTCATCTTTCCCATTTTATCCCATATTTAGCACAATACCATCGGCATATCGATGGTTGCTTCTCATCCCAATTTAACGTTTTAAAAGCATATTCCATTGTAATGATTTGGACATTGGAGGCTTTCGGATTTTCCGGCAATGGTATAGATTGGTTAATGATTCTACCAGACGTTTCGTTATCAGCTGTGGATGATATATTCAATGGCTTGCTATCGGATGCGTCGTCGGAGTACTTCTTCAGCAAACCACTGAAGATGCCATCCACAGCTGATGATGAAACGTCTGGTAGAAGCATCAACCAAACTAGGTCATGACCAGTAAACCAGAAAGCCTCCAATTATTAAATTAATTTAAAAAATCCTGCTGGTGCTGTTGTATTACAGACATTAAACATTGTAGATTTACTGTTTTTTTATTACTTTTAGGGATACACGCCCATTGACATAGTAAGACTTGCCGAAGAATTCTTTTATTCGTTGAACTTCACTTCACTGCCGAACAGTTTCTACACGTCCTCTCTTTTCGAAGAACCATTGGACCGTCAAGTCATTTGCCAAGCATCAGCTTGGGACTTTTGCAACAGAGACGACTACAGGTGATTTTCATTCTTTTAACGTCCTTTGTTTCGAAAATTTCTGGAGTTTACTTATTTTCTTAACACATTTACAATTCCTTTTTCAGATTAAAAATGTGCACCCGGGTTACCATGAAAGACCTGATAACAGCCCATCACGAAATGGCTCACATACATTACTTCATTCAATACCGTAATCAACCAAAAGGGTTCCGGGATGGTGCAAATCCAGGTAAATTGAATATTAATACTATCTGGCTACAGACCAGAGTGGTCTAATGGTCTAGATCACGGCTTAGTGTCTAGGAAGAAACTGCCACCAGTTCAATTCTGGGTCCATCTGCCCTGGTCAAAGATTTTCTGTGGTTTTCTTGGACCATTTAGGCAAATTTTGGTGCAATAATATAACACTGATAATCTTTCTCGTATGTCTTCATTTGGTTCTTGTTATCTTTCATTCCAAACCACTTCCTGACGACATTCCAACGATTCCTAAAAGGTTTTTTGCCTTATATACCAACTTTGCTCAGGCGTAGGTCAGAGGGACTAACCACCCATTAGTGTTAGTAGCTAATGGGAACGAAACACCCTAAAGTTTCTTTTATTCATGTATAGTACAGTCGAAATAAGAAGGCAAAGTCCCCAATAAATATTGCACACTAAAGGCATATCGTTTTTTCGTTCTTACAAACGGAAGATATCCTGTCTTTATTCTCTAGACACGCCTCCTCCACAGCTGTGTCAAGGCCTGCACCTACGTTTCATAAGAATCAATCGAATAGAATGAGACGGTTGAAAACGTGCTTGTCTTGTTGTCCGTACCTTCATTAAATGAGCAAATTTACAGGATCGGCTTAAGGCAGTAGTACTCATCGATGTAATATACGTTTTTAAAAGTTGATCCAACAATCGATCTGAAAGGTGCTCATGATTGAAGCAGACAATCATAAAGTTCCCCAAATGTAGCTCCAAAACTTCTTCATATTTTATAAATAATTGTTTAAAGATTTTTACTTTATATGTAATTTATAGGTCAATTATAAGAAACAATTAATTGTGTGATGTGAATTACTTCATTCAAGGAAATCCAAAATTCCGATCACAACCTACTTAAATGTGATCCAATTTCGTGGACCTACATATCTAACTTTTTTTTGCTGACATGGACGACTTTGCAGTTTGGACTTGATCCCAAAGGGGTTGATATAGGTCACTTAGTATCCGTTTAGTTTAAATTCTACATGGGCAAAACGTTCAAAACATAAAAATGCGTTTCGTCATCCTAGAATCTTGTTTTCATCGTCTAACTCATATTACTTCAACGTTTTATTCGAAATAACATTTTCTAGTAATCCTCCTCGAAGTTACATTTTTTCTCCTCTTTTTTTAATAATATTACAAGCACCCTCCATAACCCTTGATCAAAACTAGGAGTTAATCTTCCTTCACGTTTCATTGCAAAATGATAATTAACTACCCCCCGCCCCCTTTTCATCAGCAAAGTTTTTTGGAATTTTGCTCTCTTTATTATTGAATCAATGACGATATGAAAAAAATATCTGATTGGTTAGCTTAATACGTGTAAAGTGTGTAAGTGAATATACATATAATTATGTATATGATAATTAAGTGCAACAAAAAATTAATCTTCCTTTCTCTCATCAAACATCAATTTAGAAAAGAAGAAAGTGTTTTCGCAGGAGATAATTTCAGAAGCATTAATGCTTTAAACTTCTGTTACACTTAGAAGTTTGGAATCGTTAGTAAATTCCTTGAAAAAAAGATAACTTAATGTAATTAGGTATAACTAATTTTTTATAGGTTATATGCCACTACAAAATTTCCTGTATTTGATTTTTTCTAACAATGCCTCATTTGTTACAATAAATATTACACATGTACAATTTGGCATAATTTAAATAATTAATAACGTTGGAACATTGATTGTTTATTGCTTTTAAGAACCGTAGGTAGGTAGGTAGGTACTATTTTACTATTTGGTTTGATACTGTCTGTCATCAGTATAAAATTATTTCAAATAACAGTGGATATCATTAAATACAAGTACTTAAAACTTCACTTACCACAAAACAATGTATTGCAAAGGGTTCATGGCTGTTAGTGATTACGGTGACACCATTTGCACTTTGATATGTCTATTTTCACTGAAAACATGTTAAATGACAACGCGGATGAACGCACAACAACACAAGACCGAGGTGCATTACTACATGTGGCAACAGGTTATGTTTCAAAACGCCGGTATGGTAAGGCATGCGTGAAACATCTTAGTTTTGGCTAATAATAACTTCGCCGATAAGAAGCTTGTACTAGCCGGGAATTATGAAATTTAATCCAAAGCAACAATTTTTATTACACATACTTTAGGTATTACGGGATTGATTTTGGATTGTATATTTTCCAAAACCAGAACAACTATTAATAGTACTGTTGTTTTAATAACCAAGATAAGGAATATTCAGTTATCTAACCGATTTTAAGTAAAATAGATTTCAGATTCTTTTATATACACTATCAAATTTTACCATGAGTAAACTATAGAGATGTGCAAAAGTATTTAAATACAAAATGCAAATACTTTTTTGATTTGTTATTTTAAATGTAAAAGACCAAATAGATTTCCCTTTTGCATTTCAAATGCCAAATGCAAAATACGTATTTTCAAAATCCTTTTTTTAAATAAATACTTTCTTGTAGTTACCCATTTAAATAATTTTCTACATTTACTGAAGTATAAAATATTTTTTAAGAAAACCTTCCAGGCATTTGCTCATTTTTTAAATATTGGAGTTTTTCTAGACTAAAAGTGGTGTTTGCACTATATCACCAGCTGTGAAGATTAAGTATGATTCATATTTGTCTGTTTGAAATGATATTTTTTCTATGTTTATGTTACAGTTTCTTCAGTTCTGCAACAAATAATTCTTCTATATGCTTCCTTATTTGCCTTTGACACCTGTTTTAATTTGAATAAAGGCACCGATGCCAAAATAGTTTATTTAGCGTTAAAGATCAGAGCCAAAATAAGGTTGAAAATAATTTTATTGTTGTAAAATCAATACCAATCTTTTTATATCAATATATTTACAACCCCATTTTGTTTCTGATCTTTTACACATTGTAATAAGCGAAAGAAATGAAATCCATAGTTTCTTTAGCTTTGAGTTCATCTAATAAGTAATGTTTTTCGAATCGTTTTCTAAGAATTTTGGATTATAGGCATTTATTAGCACACCATAATATGTTGTAGTTTTTAGGTACTATAAATAATAGAAATTGATAAACCATTAAATTTGCTTTTACATAACACATTCTATATGATGTAAAACGAAATTTCTCTTACAATTATACTTTTATGTTTAATTTAAGAAAACTAAATCTGTCTATATAATAGTCCATTTCCGGTTCAAAAAAAGATGCTGAAACATTTCCGGAATTTCAAGTGACGTCAAGTACGAAACTGATTCAGTTGTTACACCTACGTTTAGCAACATTCACTTGCTCTCTTCGTTTCCTTAACTGTTTCTTTAATGATGCTATTTATCAATCATGTTCTACCATAAAAAAAAAACAGCAGACGATCTAAACTATTAACACACTTCCGTCAAATTCGAGCGTAATTTTCGCGTACGGCGTTTACATCTAATGATGAACAGCTAGTACATAATAGACAAAGAGATAGGTATGCAGGATAAATTAATTTCTATTCAATTTTTTAGGCAAGACCAAGACTGTCTCAGTTAGTCTGTAAGTAAGACAGAGTCAGACTGTCTCAGTCTTTTACGTGTTTTGGTCTTGCTCATTTAATCTGATTACGTGTTTTTTTTAATTTTAATCACAAATTCTTTTATTTACTGATAATAACTTCCTTAAATACTGAAACTTTCTGTCATATATGCAAGCTTGTCATGTGTTTTAAAAGAAATAGTGTCGATGGTTGTGAAAATTGGAGGACTTACCCTTCTTTCAAATAATAAATTTTGTTTCTCCAACGCATAAAATGATCTAACAGCAAAAAAAAATAGTACGAGGTACTTGAAAGAAATAAAAATTATCATCATCATAAGGCCGTCTGGTTGGACACGCACCTCCACTAATTCCTATCCTGAGTTAATCTTCCAATTTCCCTAAGACTAGGCGGTGATGACGAATTCCCTCCCGCAGATAGTTTTGGTTAAAATATAGATAGTCGAATTCCCTCCCAGCTACTAGCTCCGATAATTAAGTTAACGACTACTTACCGATTTTATTTATCGAAAATAAATATATATTTATAGTGCACTTCAGTACTTCAGTAAATTAAAGATCAAATAATTTCAGAAAGAAAACACATATCAGTTATGAAATATTTATTTATTTAATTTTAAAATGATTTCCCACTACCTGAACACACTCAATGTTTGGAAATTCGTGTGCGTCTAGCTTTTTGATGCAATCATCCAGAAAAACTTTATTAGTTTTAGTTTGTCTTGTATTTGACCAATAGAAGGGTAGTCTGATAAAATTATTATTGTTATTGTAGTGTCTATAATATATGAATAACATTAAGATTAATATGTGATGTGAGGCTGTATTATTTGAACAACTCTTTATGATTATATAGTGGCAATTGGCACTCAAAGTCATCCGCCGCCGTTGGGAGGCAATTGATGTATAATTAGGAGGGAATTCGACATACCGAAAATTTTAACCCTAATTAAAATCAGGCATATGGGAGGGAACTAGGCATTATCCAGACTAGGAGATCCCACATCATTAACTATTTGCGAACAGTAATCTAATCTAGGTCTACCTCTACCCCTCCCGTTTTTCCCTTTAATATGTCTCTGACTAGACCTTCGTGCCTTAGAAGGTGTTCTAGGTGAAAAAGATTGCTAAAGGCATCAGGCGTATAGGTCTAGTCAGAGACATATTAGAAGCAGAAACACGAGTTAAGATTACTGTTCACAAATAGTTAAGGATGTGGGTTGTTCTAGTTTTGGGGAAATGCGAAGATTAGGATACGAAAGAGTGCAAGTGCCTGTAAAACCTAAGGGATTAAGGACCTTATGATGATCGAATATTATTTAAAATATTTCCCAGATTATTCAAAATGTTTTAATTAAGTCGTTCTGTTGTAGTCTACAGTAAAGGAACTTCTCCCTTAATTATAACAGTTAGCGTTATCAGACAGTCAAGTAGGTAAATTGTGATAATCCTAGTCTTTAAATA